ACTTGTGATTTGATCTACTCTACCTCTTGATTTTCACTCATGTGCTAGTAGGTAGTGCTTCGATTCTTTCATGGATGATCTCATGCTCAATGCTTGTGATTTGGACTACTAAATCTCTTGATTTTTGCTCATGTGCTAGTAGGTAGTGTTCCGATTCTCTCATGGTGATCTCATGCTCAATACTTGTGATTTGGCCTACTCTATCTCTTGATTTTCACTCACATGCTAGTAGGTAGTGCTCCGATTCTTTCATGGGTGATCTCATGCTCAATACTTGTGATTTGGTCTACTTCAACTCTTGATTTTCACTCATGTGCTAGTAGGAAGTGNTGCTAGTAGGAAGTGCTCCGATTCTTTCATGGGTGATCTCATGCTCAATACTTGTGATTTGGTCTACTTCAACTCTTGATTTTCACTCATGTGCTCGTAGGTAGTGCTCTGATTCTTTCATGGGTGATCTCATGCTCAACGCTTGTGATTTGGTCTACTTCAACTTTTGATTTTCACTCATGTGCTAGTAGGTAGTGCTCCGATTCTTTCATGGGTGATCTCATGCTCAACGCTTGTGATTTGGTCTACTTCAACTCTTGATTTTCACTCATGTGCTAGTAGGTAGTGCTCCGATTCTTTCATGGGTGATCTCATGCTCAATACTTGTAATTTGGGCTACTCCAACACTTGTTTTTCAATCATATGCTAGTAGGTAGTGCTCTGATCCCTTTCGTGGATGATCTCAGGCTCAAAGCTTGTGTCCTCAAACTAGCCTAGCATGTGTCTTCCGCCCCCCCGTGTTGTATTCGAACACGGTAACTAGAGAATAGGTAAATTGCGGTTTTTCGACATTCTGAACTGCTGCTGCTGATTCTGTTGGTAATGACCATAGATCCTTAGCTGCTGATAAAAGTCTGGCTGAGCCAGACGCCCGCTGCTGCCAGAAAAGGTAAGTGACCAACCGCCAATGCACGACCGCTCCAAGAATCGCAAAACGAGCCAAAATGATCGGGGGTGCGCCATCTCCTTCACCCATCCGCCCCCGGACACAAATCCTAGCACTAATCCTACAACCTCCTTCACCCATCCGCCATAGCCGACCTCCTTGCACCTTCTTTCTCCACCACCTTCTTCCTCCACCATCTTCTTCCTCCACCACCTCCTTCACCCATCCACCATAGCCAACTACCTTCCACCTCCTTCCTCCATCACCTCCTTCACCCATCCGCCATAGCCAGCCACCTTCCACCTTCTTCCTTCACCATCTCCTTCACCTATCCGTCATAGCCAACCACCTTCCACCCTCTTCCTCCACCACCTCCTTCACCCATCCACCATAGCC